GCCAGCGCCGGGGGCCCATCGGAGGCTGTGAAGTGTTTGACCTTTGAGAGATCAGGACGAAGACCGTTGAATATTACTATTGTTGATTTGATGGGAACCAGGTTTCCACTACTCAACCCCAGCACCCTGGGCAAACTTTTATAAATGCAGCGCACGCTTCCTTAGCTATCCACCCCATCCCACGTTAAAAATAGAGCGAATGGTTACTGCTATAAAGTCAATAAAATCTCTATTGAATGAATAGTTTGTGGCAGGCACTGCGCTCTAAGTACATCACATGACAACCACAACCGCACAATTGTACTGCTCTCTGTAGTCTAGGAGATCCTAACAATACAAAGGCAGGTATTACAGAGAGGGCGAGAGAGAGAGAGAGAGAGAGAGAGAGAGAGAGAGAATCTTCCCAAAGATTACACAGCTAATGATGGAACTACTTTTACTGAATACCCACCACGTCCCAAAAGTGTCTCCACTGTAGGGGAAAGTAACGAGTGAACATATTCAAAGTAATATTGAAATGAAGCATCGTTTTTCTCTCTCCAGTGCACCAGTCTGGCTCTTAAGCTTACTAGATGCAACATGACATACAAATAACATTTATCATGCTTTACAGGGTGAAGTTAAAATAGCAAATTGCTCTCTTTAAGCTTCAACTATAGTGAGATTTGGAAATTTAAACAAACGCATTGCTATCCTTGTATTCGACATTCATTCATCACCATGTTACTAATAGCTACTGAGTTAGACTGAGCATGGAAATATATAGAAAAGATATAAATAAGACGGTCTCAACTGGACATTTGTCATGTTGTATTTTGGTTGCCCAGCACTTGAACTCTCCGTGTTTGGGAAACTCCCCATTATGGTTGTCATTAGTGTAGTATACCGTGTATTTCCAGAATCTTCTGGACACATGACAGGATTTTACCTTCCACACTCCTTGGAATTACATGAAGTCATTTGATTTGCTTTGGCTAATAAAATGAAATTGAGAGTGAGCCCCGTCATGGCCAGCTGGTAATTTAAAAAGCCAGTTTGCCAAGCTTTCCTTGAAAAACAATATTTGAGATGGTAGCAGCTCTAGCAACCCAAGTTCTACACAGATTATGGTGAGCCCAGAACCAACTGCTAATCTACAACTGATATAATAAAAGTAAATAAATATTTGTTGTTTTACGCTATTGAGATTTGGAGGGCTGTTTATTACACAACACAACTAACCCAGCTGACAGATACACCCACCTTATGAGTCTTGGAGACAGAGGCAACCTTGCTCCAAATGAAATGAAAATGTCAGAAACTCACATTCCCAGGCTCCCTTGCAGCTAAAGTGCTGTTTTCAGCGATACTAATTAGACTCTCTCACTGAGGACTGTGTATCAGACGATGCTAGTGACGTTCAAAGCACGGAAAGTTTTCTTCAGCAGCTTTGTAGTGCCAGTGATCAAATTTCCGATTTTCAACCTGGAGTTAACTAACTAAACCCTGGCAGAAACCATGCTGACCCACAATCCATTAAGTGAGGGAAAAAATAAACATCTGTTGTTCTACATCACTGAAAAGCTAAGGACGTTTGTAATTTAAACAAAATACAGACATAAAGGAGAATACAGATTCTATCCACTCTCCACTGTTTGTTGAGAATCCACCAGTCTATCCTGAAAGGATGATTCTTCCATTTTAATTGGAACTTAACAAGGGACCCCTCCAAGGAGGCAACTCGAAAGGAAAAAAATGGAAATAATTTCTGGCTTGAGCGGATTGTATAGGTGACTGCTCTCAATGGAGCTAATGCCATCCTGTAGGGGACACTTTAAGTATAGGGATGTGTGTGTTTTAGTTGTCATGTCATTGGGGTAGGGCACTGCTGCAATTTAGTGAGGAGGGACCAGGGCTGGTAGACATCCTGAAATACCTTCAAGAATTGCCCCAAGTCATGTATGGCTTTTGAATGTCGCTCCAGACATTCGTGTAGGTTACAAAACCTGTTTATAATTATATGAGCCTAGGACTCGGTTTCACACATAAGCACAAAGTATTTTTGCAAGGTTTTAATATACACTCGATTTTCCAAGAATGAAGCCTCTGTGTAATACGAGGTAAGATTATCCTTTTTTTTATGAACATTACCAAGAGTTTATCCCATGTTTAAAAATCATGTCACCTATGGCAAAGCTACTCATGGTATTTGAGGCACTGATAGAACATGCCTGTGTCACTCTGCATTTGTAGCTGTTACATTCATGGTAAATCTAAATTTAGGTGCATGCACTTGACTGCTTCGTTATGTCTCTTTGTGAGTCATGATTGAACACATATGTATTATTTTTATTATGAATTATTTCCATAAAGTTTGTTTGAATATTATCATTGTCATTATATTGATTTTTAAAATGATTTATGTGTAGCTTACTTATATCATCTATGAGTTTAATTTCAGAAAAGTGCAAGGGCGTTACATAGCATTAACTCTAAAATGGGGTCATTAAGTCTGACAAAACTGATTTTAAAAAACCCACATAGGCTATCATTGCCTCTTTTGACCATCTAAAATCAAAGGTCAGGATCAGGGCAGAGTCTAGACATGGTCCCTCAGCTTTGCAGTGAAGCTATGCATGGCTATGTCCCCTCTTCTCTCTGGCCCCCAACACACCCCTCATCCAGATGGTTAATGTTAGCCATCAGTCACTTCATCTCCAAATATAGAAAGATCTTACAGCTGTGTAAGAGCAGAACCAAACAAGCAGTTTGGGCAAATTATCTTAGTCCTTAGGCAGAAATCAAACTAAATTTCTCCAACATTAAAAATATGAAAAAGGAACCATAATATCTCCTGTAATATTTAACGACTGTATAGACGTATTTTAAGAGAGGAAAAAGTCGCTACTAAATACCAGATATTCCTTGATTACATATAAAACACAAGAAAGCTGTTTTTCTGTTTCTTTAATATTTATAATTAGCATCAGTGAAGAAAATCAAAACAATTCAAAGTTGTTGGGTTTTTTTTGTTAATAGATTAGTTCAGTAGAAACCTAAACTGCTGTGATAGACATCTTCGGCATATCTCTCTATGCCAGGTGCTTAAGAATCTTTGAAAATAGCACTAACATCACTTCCTTTATGTCTCAAACGCTTACTTGCTTTGTCTCTGTGTCACCATATCCCTTTATCAACTGACCAAATGTTATGATTGTCCCAGAATTCATCTTTGGTAGCTGGACTTCTAAGCCAGGAAAATACCATCTTTCTCACATGTCCACACAGCATTCTGCTCCCATTTCTAATGTATTTCCCATTGTGATTTCTGGATAAATTAATTCTAAGGATTGCGGGACATTCTAGGCAACTTTATTTTACTTATTTTTTTTTTTTACTAGTAATTTATATGCTATTCAGAAGCTATATTAGTTTCTGACATTTTTAAGCATTTTAGACATGGCAGTAATGATTTTAAAATACCAGTCTCTGCAACATGGATGGACCTAGAAGGTATTATACTAAGTGAAATAAGTCAGACAGAGAAGGACAAATACCACATGATTTCACTTATATGTGGAGCCTAAAAAACAAAATAAACAAATAAAACAGAAACAAACTCATAGATACAGAGAACAAACTGATGGCCAGGTAAGATGGGGGTTGGGGATGGAGTGAAAAAGGTGAAGGGATTAAGAAATACAAATTGGTGGTTGCAAAATAGTCGCGGGGATGTAAAGTACAGCTTAGGGAACACTGTCAATAATATTGTAATAACCATTTACGGTGTCAGATGCATACTAGACTTATTGGTGTGATCATTTTGTAAGTTATATAAATGTCACTAAGTTGTACACATGAAACATATAATATTTATGTAACTATAACTGAAAAATACATTTTTTTAAAAAAATTTAAGATTTAAATACTAGTAATAAATGAGTCTCTGCTAGTAAAGGTCAGAAAATAGAAAAAATATATATTTTTTTGGCTCAGCAAAAGCTTGAAAATGTAGCAAGAGGCCTGAATGACAAAGAACTCCTTTTTGTGCAAATTGCCATGAAGCAATGGAGTAAGCATGAAAGATCTCATCCAAGCCTGGACACTTTTAAGAGTGGAAGAAGCGTTATTAATAATTATACGAGAGCAACAGGTGGATTCCCAGGCCATCCCAGACAAACTGAGATACATGACCATGCGACCTAAAGCAGGAATAAATAATAAAGAGAAATCAGGTGAAGAGTTCCTAAATGGAAAAGCGTTGAATGTAAAATTAACTCTTGAATGTTCAATAGCTTTCC